GTGCCAAACAAATACCACGAGAGATCGCCGAGGACAGGGAGTCAAGGAACTGGTTTTTGGCGGCAACCCCATCGCGACAGCCAGCGAAAAAGAGGAAAAAACGTACGAAGGATTCTGATCGAAGCTGGGATCACCTTAGAAATGGAGATCATTATGGTTTTAGTGGGAGATTATCATGCAAATAATGTTCACATATTTCTTAAAAAATCTTTTTTTAATGCATAAAATTTTATTTATTTAGCGAAAACAGGAAAAAAACCTACGAAGGATTCTGATCGAAGCTGGAATCACCTTAGAAATGGAGATCATTATGGTTTTAGTGGGAGATTATCATGTAAATAATGTTCACATATTTCTTATAAAATCTTTTTTTAATGCATAACATTTATTTTATTTAACGAATAACTGTTAAAGAATATTTTAGCTCATAAGTATGATAGTATGCTCTTAAGCTGGACTTATAAAGTAAGTTATAACTCATGATCCGGAATTTTTACTTTAAGAGTCCCGAGGAAGTTTAAACATTTGTATAAAGCTAAATAAGAAAATAAATGTATTACATGGTCATAATGTTCTTTATAAGGTCAACGTCTAATCAAGAATATTCACTTATAACCCGGTTTGCTGTAAGTCATAAAAAAGGCAAACGATCCCCTGAATAAAAATACCCTTTGTGGGTAGGTATATAAAGACAAAAAATTGGCATAAATGTTTATGATACAGTAAGCGGATGGGATGACGACAAACGGAGGATGATGAAAAACCGGAGGTCTAACACCGCCTGTCAGCCAAGTGGAACGTTATGCTCGTACATGCATTATTTGCTGGATCGCATTGTCTGCGAAGAAAGTGAATTGTAAATTGAATTGCATCTGATCGAAATCAGTCGAAACGGATGTGAACCGAAAACGTGTGTCTCTCGCCAGCGAAATACTTTTGAGAGAAACTGCATAAAATACTTATGAGATATTAGTGGGGGATATGGTTGACGAGGAGGAGGAGAAGGAGGAGGAGCCATTCCGCCCGAGTGACAGATGTAAAAGTGTCGTCTGTCTGGCTGACATTGATGCATTCGTATTCCCATCAGTCCATCGGCAGACGACGATTTGCAATACACGATGCACAATGCTAAGATGGCGATGGGTGAAATGAAATGCGTTGCCCCACCGCAATACCTGCGATAAGGTCTTCCCAGGGAGGCAGCCGAAGGGCCCTGACAGCCTGGGAATTGTGAGCAGGAGGGGAGCTGAAACCCATACCATATAATGCTAAATGATCTAGCAATAGCCCTTCTGGGAGTGGATATCTCGGATTGGGTTCAATGATTTTGATAATACTGGCAGATTAATGGGGATCTCTATTCATAAATTATTTGGGATATCAGTTTTTAGAACAGATAATAATAATTTTATTAGTTTTTCTTATACATATGTGATCCACATCGTAATAACTTTTAAACTTCATTAACTAACTTGGTCAAAAAACAAAAATAACTCCCTGGACAGCCATCCAATAAATATTAAATATATGTTATAACCCAATTAAAATTTCTGGATAATTATTTTCATTTGCGAAAGTTTATAAAAAAAACATTTGATCTCTCAAGTGAATGTTTAAATAAAAGTGTGCTAATTATGACTTTGCATCAAGAATTCATCATCAAGATCTTGTAAATTATGTTTTCAGGGGGTTTTTCCAAGTGCGTGTAAATAGCCGTGATTAAGTTGTTACGTGGGTAGCTGCACAACAACTAAAGAATTCATTGCCTAAGGCTTATATTACACTATTCCTGTAGAATGTTCTAAATCAGTTTCGAGGTGCGTGCTAGAAAAGGTTTTCCATCAAACTTGGGCCCATTAATCTTCCCAGGAAGAGGAAACTCCAGCTTATCGGAATGGGTAAAGTAAAAATTAACCCTTTGCATCCGCAGAAATTAAATTGTTTTCGCAACTGTTCGCGGGTCCCGAATCCCAGCACTTTCGCACCACAGGTGGTTCCAAGTGAATCTCGTGCTATCCAGACACGCAATCCACTAAGGGAAACTAACGAGTGTATTTCACTGCGGTAGCTTATTTATCGAGGGCTTCCACAGATTCTAATGAAAGCTGTCGAGAATTGAGAGGTTTTAATGGTTTATTGGTTTATGGCTGGCTAATTCTTTTAGGGTTTAAGTGGGCGACAAAAATAGAGACATTACACTCATAAAAATAATTTTCTACATTTTAGAAAATTGCCCTAAAAAAATTTTCGCCCTTGAACTGAGAAAAATTTTCTATTTTCACGACAATTTTGCCATAAATTCAAGGCAGGTGACCATAAAAAAATATTTTTAGGGTTAATTTTTCTATTTTTCTAATAATTAGGGCGATTTTTTCGATTTGCTTCGATTTGACCTTTTCTAAATCCAACGGCGAATTGCCCTAATTTTTTTTCTAAAATTTGTCTAAATACAAGGGCGATTCGCCTTAAAAATCACTCCAAAAGTGTGAAATTCGGTAGCCCAGCGGTCTAATCACTTGCGCTTTCAACTTTGCTATATGAGGACTAAGGTCGTGGGGTTGTGGGTTCGAACCCTGTGTGATTCAACTTGATTTTTATTTATTTTTTTTTTTTTGTAAACGTTATAATACTAAGGACATTTTTTCGTCCGAATTTTAAATTAAAGTAGTCTTTAAACCTTTAAAACGTATGGGAGTTCTGAGTTAAAAGCATCTTTGTGTTTGCTGGCAAGAAAACGGGACTAATTGTCACAATCGTCAGGAAAAAATATACGGTTTAGTTGCCTTTAGTCAAAATATAACGTAGACCTCAAGAAAATAAGATGTCTGCAGAGTTTGTTCGTTGTCTTGCGCGATGGGTCTGTGGTGCAGCGGTAGGACGTTAGACTCTAAACCGAGAGGTCGTGGGTTCGATTCTCGCAACGACCAAAAAAAGTAAGTTGTTTTTTCTCCTCATATTTATTTCCCTAATTCGTTTACAAACATGATTTTTCAGTTCTAACGGCTGTGTTGTATAGATCGGGCCCCCCTCTTAACGCAGCTCCCATATAAGCTACACACCAATACAATAATATGAAACGGTGTCCTCCGCCGGTGTTGTTTAATTAAAGCAGCAGTCCCAGAATATAGACGATTAAAAAAAAAACATGCTTCCCAAATTCAGTTAAGCATGCTCAAACACGATTTTTTTTAATTTGTCTAATTTTTTAGGGCATTTGCCTATAAAATCAGAAAATTCGCCCTTAATTTTAGAAAAATACACCTTAAAATAAGGGCAAATCACCCTAAAAACAGGAAAATATTTCTTATTTCAAGAAAAATCACCCTAAATTAAACCAAATTTCCATCGGGATTTTTTAGAAAATTTTTCTAAATACACGGGCGAATCGCCAGCGGATACGATTTATGGGCGATTTTCTAAATCCACGGGCGAAAAGTCAGTTTTTTAGGGCGATTTAGGGTAAAAATTTCTATGAGTGTATAGGCTATTAAAATTGGAAAATACATTTTTTTAGATTAACTGGTTATCAGTAAATAACATTTTACCTAAAAATATAACGTAAAAACCTCATATAACAGGTTAATATTTTTGTTGTATTTATTATTGGTTTTAAAAAGAACATTATAAGAGAACCCCTCACATTCTTCGTGTTTTAAATGGACAAAAAGCGACGACACGAAGGAATCGATGTCTGGCCACTGGCAGCTGCCTTTTATGTGCGAGTGCCTCTCGTGCCCCTTATCTTTTTGGGAATGACAAAAGTCGCTACTCAAATCATGCAAGCTGCAAGCTGCCATCCAATAAATAGCTGAGGTTTCCCCATCCTTGCTATACAGATATCCCCCCGAACCTTGTGGATATTTCAATTCAATCAAAGGAAAACTCTGCGGACCGCTGATCATTGCCACGGCAACATGTTCATTTGTCATTGCTGCGGATGAGTGGAGCCCGAAAGGCGGTGGGAGAATGGCAACCGAGGGCGCCCAGCGGGAACGCCAACACCTAAACACCCAAGACATAAATCGCCGACGAAGTGACCCTTCCCGGTGCCAAGGTAATTGCGTACTTACCGCTCTCAGCGGAACCTGAACCTATCCTATCCTATCCAAACGCAAACGAACTGTGAGATGAGTTCGAATTCCCTCGATTGCGTGCCCGTTTCGGGAATAGATTTATCGTCTCGTTTGAAATCCGCACTTTATTTATGGCAGCTTGGCCACATTTCTCTGTGGATCTCCCCCTCTTATTCTTATTATTTATTATTCTATCAAGCGTTACACTGTCAGCACCAGCACAATTCACTGCGAGCACTTCGAGGAGATTACGATATCTGCAGGCGATCGAGTTCCGAGCACAGACCGAGGGACTACCGTACGAGGCGACCTCGGAAAACCATCTGCAGGTTTCTGAAGCTTTCTCAGAAGACTGTCTTCGGATCGGACTACTTGCAACTTGTTGCATGCAACATGTTCACCTGGGAAGTGTGCTAGTCAAAGGTGTTTACCGTGGAAATTTAAGATAAATATAAAATATAATTTTAAAATGCTAATTTAAATCTAAAAAATAATCTTAATCATAAAATAAGAACCATTTTTAAATACTGACTTGTTGCATGCAACATGTTCACCTGGGAAATGTGGTGTTTACTTTGAAAATTTAATAAAAATATAAAAAAATTTAATGCTAATTAAAATTTAAAAATTAATCTTAATCATAAAAACATTTTTATATGCTGACCAATTGACGCAAATTGTATTTTTATTATCTTTAAAATTTCAGTCAACCATTTTAACCTATTCGTAAAAACCAATTAGATTTCAAATAAAATAGTTAGTGGCTAAACCTACTTTTCTGGTTTGGCCATTTATCAATCTCTAAGCTACATTTTGGCAAAAATTAGGCTGAGGATTAAAAATCTAATGAAATCCTTGTGAACGCCTAAAACAGCCTTGACTTTACACACTTTTTAAATCTACTTACTAAGCTTAGTTTAAGTAACGCTACTCCTCGGGTCTTGTTTCGCTGTAGAAGCCCAGATTCATGGTGGGAATCATGTTGCTGTAGAACGAGAGTTCAGCGGCCGAGGGTCGCATGGGTGGCGGTGGTTCCTGGACCAACGGAGCCATCATGGCCACTGGCGCCTGCTCGGCCATTTTGAGGGGCAAGATAGAAGCCTCCTGCGCCCGCTGCGCCATCTTGTGCTGCAACTGATGAACCTTCAGGTGATTCTCCAACTCTATTTGATGGAGGAAGCTGATGCAGCAGATGCCACACGTAAAGCTGGGTCCATGGGCCTCCAGTTCATGGCGATGCAGTTGCTCGCGTCGGTTGAAACCTTGGTTACATGTCTTGCAGGCGAACAGCGAGTCCATGTGGAGGGCTCGATGGCGTTGCAGGTCGCGCTCCCGCTGGAAACCGCGATCGCAAACATCGCATCGGTGATTGCGAGAGTTCTTAGATTGTGGCTGAGGTTTTTGCTTCGCCTGGAACGCCTGCTGCTGCTGCTGCTGCTGGAGATGCGCTAGATCGCCCTCCAGCGGAGGAAGTAGTCCCATTTGCTGCTGCTGCTGCTCCACATCTCGCCTGGTGTGAACTTGCTGGTGGGCCATCAATTTATCCTTGCGTGAGAACGAGTAGGGGCAGCGGCCACATTGAAAAGCCTTCACTTCGCCGTGGGATCGCGAGTGCCTCATCATTTCCACTGCCGTCTGGAAAGAACGCGGGCACTGCTGGCAAACGAACGGCTTGACGCCGCTGTGGATGCGCATGTGCTTGGTCAGATTGGTGTTCCGCGAGAAGCTCTTGGAGCACACGTTGCAGGTGTAGGGTCGCACGCCCGTGTGTACAATTGTGTGCTTCTTCAGATCAGAGCGTCGCACAAATCCTTTCCTGCAGTGAGCGCAGACGTATGGACGATCCGGATCGTGAAGCGTCTTGATGTGCGAAATCAAAGCGGGCCGTGTGACCATTCTGAGGTTGCAGTAGGCGCAGGCGAAAGGTGCAGTAGGATCGTGGGCGCTTCGCTCGTGCTCCTGACAGTCGGAAGGCAGGGTGAAGCCCAGATCGCAGTACTGGCAGAGGAAAGCGCGCTTGGGTCGTACCGTCGCGGAGTTCACATCCGCGGCAACGGCCTTTTGTGCCGCCATCTGGGCCGCATCCATGCCCAGCGGCATTTCCACATCCTCGCCATTCTGGCCCTCTTCCTCGTCCTCCTCATCATAGTCTTCCTCCTCGTCCTCGTCGTCGTCCTCGTAGTTTTCATACTCTCCGTCTGAGCCCAGGGCAAACTCATCCTCACTGGACTCCGCCAGCTTTTCCGGGTCAACGTCCACGATGATGCATCCCTCCTCGGGCATAAATTCTCCTGGATTGCCATTCAAGCCGGGCCGGTACTTGGCATCCTCCCTGATCAGGTCCTTTAGCTGCTCCTGCAGCGACTGCTCCCGCTCCTGCATTCCCCGCCGCTGCTCGAAGGCATCCTCCAGGATCTCCAGACACTCCGGGCAAATGAGCTCGGACAGCAACTCATGGCGATCATACTGAAAAGGGGGGTATAAAGTATTGATGTGATGGATTGTCGAAGGACACGGGACTCACCTGAACACTCCACAGAGCCTGGGAAACCTCCGCGATGGACACATCCTTGCAGCACGCCACCGAGCTCTCGAAAATATTGGGCGAATTGGCATCCGTTTCTCGGTGGCACAGCCGGCAGGTGTTCACATCCCGATCCGGGGTGACGTCGGTCTCCGGTATATGCATTTTGTGGCTCTCAGAGAACACGGATTTGCCTAAATTTACCTATTTTGGCCAATATTAGCAACAAAGCCGCACCGGCAGAAAAAAAACGCGTTTTGCATTAGAGGTGGACAGAACCACTCACGATAGTATCGATATAAAGTCAAATTTCGCAACATGTTGAAATCGATTAGCAGGGGCTATCGATATACTCTGGCACGGTGGGCTGCTTATTAAAAAGAATTGTTAAAATGTAATTTAAGTATTTTCATTTTGTTAAGAGTTTTAAATATTTTTTTATTAGAAGTAATAAAAATAAAAATTATAAATGTGAGAGCTCTACGTTTATTCATAAATCTAAAAATGAATACTTAGCCATTTAAGTAAATAGGACGAAAAATAAATTACTTCCTTTCGGGCTGACACTTGTTGAGTCACAGTTAAGGTACAAATATTTTAACTGTACCCAAGAAAATTGTAGTGATAATAAGTACCTAATATGTACATTGTACACACTTCCCTTCACCGCATACAGGTTAAACGGAAACGCGGTAAACAGGCGAAGCAAAAGCTTTTTCAATTGCAAACGAACTCTTGATTAACGCGGACGTGCGGACGTTCTCTCGGTGCGGAAATCTCGGCGAACGCGAGAATATCCCTTTTGGTTGATCAGGATTAAGTGCTGGCTCGGTTTTGTGTTTAATTGCAGTGCGTTACAAGTTTATTTGCAATTGGTCACGATCCGTTTAGTGGAATTTATTGCTCAGCAGATGCTGTAAATTACACTAGAACACACAGTTACACATACAGCGGCAAAACAACTGTTACGCCTACGCTTACGCAGCAGCAACAACAATAACAGAGAGGAATTAGCGGCGAGCAGCAACAATTTTCCACCCAAAAGGGGAAATAACTGTTTCGTGAGTTTGTACTATTTAAGCTGTTGTGGTTGTTGTTGCTGTTGTCCCCCCACAAGCATTCTGTCTTTATTATGCTCCTGTTCCTTCTGCTCCTTGCGCTCTCCTTCCTCTTCCATGCGGTTTGTGTGTTATTCCTGGAGGAATACAAAAAAACAGGCAAGGCGACGCAACCCCGTGTACATTTATGACTCTCTTTCCTGATGCACACAAAAAAATATTCTATGTGATATGAAGATAGGCTTTATCATTTTAAACATTTAAACATATAATATTATTCTCCTGCTGCAAGGAACAATTAAATACTTCCATGTCCTTGGATTACAGATTTTAATATTGAAATATTACAAATAATATTTCCTGTGTACCAGTCGTCCTGCTGACGCCGTTCCTTTCAGACCTCAAACTTTACCTTCGCCGCCTTTTAACTCCCATGAGTTCCACTTTTTTGGCCGCTAGGTCCCTGTTGATTTTAGGTTATTGGGATTCCTCACTTTCCCCAGTTGCCATAGCGTGTAAGATAATGATTTTGTGCGTAAATAATTTACGACCTTAAAGAGGAAAAAAGAGAATTTATAATGTGATGAACTTACAAATATTGTGGCCTAAATACTATACCTTTTAAACGCATGCTTTAAATCAAGGGACTATGTGCAAAATGCTTAGAAAAGAGTGTTATTTTTATTTCTATCTTTATTGCCAAAGATTGGATTTATATTTTAATAGTTCAATTAAAAACCTGTTTAAACGGATGGTATCACAGTACTGAATCAATAAATATCACCCTGCTATTCGATATGGTGTATAGCCTGCGAGACTAGTTACTTAAATGCATACATTTGTATACAGTGACTTTAAACATAGCCAATATTGCAAGTGACAGGCACATAAAAATCGTTTCAGGTTTTGTATATTATTGAAAAACAAACAAGATTAAGGTTCCAAACATTCCACTCGCCAATTACGCGGGAGACAATGATCATTCGACGAGGAAAGTCCGATCATCAGATCTAATGAATCGGTGTCGTGACTCAAGTTGGGTCTAGTTTTAGAACCCTCCTCCGCTGGCGGCTCTATACTGTGCACTCGTTGACTTTGAACTTGACTCGAAGCGCTGACGCTAAATTGGCTGGCAAATTGAGACTGCAGGGGAGATCCAGACCCGGGTCCGGAATATAGTTATTCTCCACGCCCGTCACATGCGTACGATGGTTGTAGTAAAATAACGCCTATCACTCTCCAACGTGGAATCATGCCACAATCTTATCAGCAACCTGAGCTTATGCTAGCTGAATGAATCGATGTTCCGCTGTCGCACACAGAAAGCTCTGCGGCGATTGTCAAAAAGATAATGAAAACCAAACCCCCTTCATAACCCCTTCGAGATACAGAAATTGTAAACAAAAAGTCAAACATTTCCAGTTGACAAATTGATTTCAGCACACTGGCAGGAAATTCAACCCGAGTTTAAATGGCAAGAGGGGGTGTGCATAATGCTTTTGTGAAATTTCTTCATTTGCATTCTATTCACTTACAGGCTGTAAAACCAAATGAGTAGTTTTCATTACATTTTTTTACTCTCTATAATAACCCCAAGTACCCACTGCTTAATGGGTTCTCGGTAATAAAGGCTCTACTCTTAAACAAAAAGAACTAAGTTGCAAGCTAGGTTTTATTACAAAGTAAATTAAGTTAAGCTAAACAATTTGTTTTAATATTAGTGATATTGAACAGAATAAAAACAAAACATATATTTAAGGAAAGAGCTAGTTATGTATTAATCATTGAGTCTTTGAAAATATATGAATATTTCCTTGATAATCAGAAACCTAGTAAGCCAGCAATAAGCCCCTCCCAAAAAGTACGAAAAACGATAAATACCTGGAAATATTATCGCCAAGCGTTTGTTTTCTGCAGAATTAATAACAGAAGCCGTTTATGACCCATTACAGAGCCGCAATATCGGGAACCTCTTATCGTATTGCAAATTATATACAAAGTTAGCAGTCATAATATGATGTTAGAAGAAAATTTGTATAGCATTAAGATTTTCGTACATGCTCAGGAAAAAATCAATGAAAGTCCAAGGCAGTTAATGCCCATTACCTCTGATCCCGGCGCTTGATTAAAGCAAACGACCCATTCAACACGTAATTACTCCCCAAAAGGTCACGCCAGTATCAACAGTTTGACATCAATTCGCAGCTCAAATAGCCTAAAGTTGTATCTGTAACGATTATTATAATTGTCATAATTGCTATTGCCAACATTAGAAGTCGTCATAAAGAGTATCTTATAGGTCGACAAAACAATTGAAAATAGGCTAACATTCTGATTAGAGCTAGCGGCTGAATTTAATATTGAGATGATGTGGTCGTAAAGATAAAAGGATCATGTGACAAATTTTGAGCAACAATTTACCAGTCTCAAGTAGACTTCTAATTTTTGAAGTACCCTTGGCAACAGGGCAACTGTTGAATAATACACGCAACATTTTGTGGGTAATAACTCGAGTTATAGTTATAGGGTGTGGAGTAAATATGTCCCTATAGATGAGCTTTACCCTGTATGTCAAAGTCTGAACTGTGAGTTTCAACCGACTTTTGCCTGTACTACTACGTTAGTTAGTTAGTGTATCTATATTTAATGAGATAATGAGTTCACCTGCTAATTATTCAACCAAAAGTTAGAAAAGTAACAATTATAATTTCTGTTAGCTTAAATTGGGTTTGGTTGTACCGGCGTATCATGTTTTTAATGTTAAGATTAGTCCAACATAAGTATTTTATTATTTTGTGTAATCTTTTGATTAGGTAGATCGGGCGATTTCATAAATATTGGAAAAAACTGTATCTATAAAAAGATTACCATACCCTAAACCAACAGTAATCTTTAAGCGAAAGTACATACCTCTTTTGTTCGCCACTTAAGGCATATCACCAACTGTTGAATACTATTCTGATCTCACGAATCTTTGTACTATTCGTCATGGTTTTACCAAAAGCTGATTAAGAAACTTTTCGGCTCTCAATCGAACGTTTAACTTATGTATAATACAAGCGAGATATCAAAGTTCAGTGCCTTAATCCAAACAAAAGCAGTTGGACAATTGTTGATAAGCCTTTCGCAATTCCCAGTTTAAACGGTTCCACCTGGCATGGGTCTCTTCAGTTTTATTTGTCCAATCGGCCGTATCGGACGTGTGCCGACCTTGTTAAGGTTGTCAAAAGGTTTGTTACCAGAGGGATATCGCTCATGAATTTATAATCGATCTTGAGATCTCTAGAAGTGCTGCCCATAAAGCATAAGAACCAGCCCACTTTGTGCGAAACCCTTTTTTTGTTGTATTCTAAGTGCTTACTTTGAATGGGCCATTAAGTTTAGAGCTGAAAAACGCATGCATGATAATTTATTGACCAATCAAGGCAGTATGCAAATTAGAGACAATTGAATTATGGAACGATCCCGTAATAATACCAAGTCTGTTTATATTGACTTGATATGATTGAAATTAGCTAAATAACGAACGTTGATTTTCACTAATGACATGGGAGTTGTAAACAGGGAACGAAAATAACTGTTATTGTAAATTTTTCATACAAAAAAATCACGCACTTAGAAGGGTCCTAAAAATTTTTTAAATACACCACAATTTTTATTAGCCATTGTAGTTTACAAATCCGTAATGATTTTTATTTTTTTATTTTTATAATAAAACTCAAAAAATAACTGTTATTTTTTGATTTTTATGAATAACAGTTATTCTCTTGACATTTTTGAAAAAATGAAATAATTAAAAAAAACATGATACCCGTGCTTTTTTAAAAAAGGCAACCGCGCATATTTTATACCTATATTTTTTTAAAATTTTGTTTACCCACAAAATCGCCATAAATCAAGTTTGAGTTTTATTTTGATCACGTCGAATAACTGTTATTTGTCAACTTTTATTATAAAACTCAAAAAATAACAGTTATTCTTTGAGTTTTACTTTACAAATCAGAAAATAACTGTTAAAGTGTGATTTTTAAAATAAAACTTATAACAGTTACGTTCCCTGGTTGTAAATATCGATTCAAAGTAGCCAAAGATCACACTGATTTTAGTTTTAGAAAGCTAGGCGTAAAATGTCCATTACCAACAATTTGTTTAAAAATAGTTGTCCTAGCCTAGATTTGTTCCACTAGATTTTAAAAATTCGTACTCAAAATAAATTTTTTTAATTCTTTCAGAAGGACCTTTTAGCTTTTCAAAATGGCTTGCACCTGCGAAGTAATTGGTCTTGCCTGCGTGGTGGCTTTAATACTGAGTGCTATGGCCAAAGCTCCCTATCAAATGCGCATGATCTTTATATTCTTTGGAGCGGGGGCTATAGTCCTGATTTGTGTGCCTTTTATGATCCTGCGACCAAGGGATTACCGAAATGCGCTGTAAGTACTTTATCACATGACTATTTTTATTTTTTTTTTATTTATTTATTTTTTATTTATAGCTTCCCATCTTGGTGCTTCCGGCAGCTGTGCCGCCTAATGGGCATCACGATGGAGGTTCGGGGTCTGGAGAATGTCCGTAAGGATCACGGTGCAGTGGTGATCATGAATCACCAGAGTGCCGTGGATCTGTGCGTGCTGGCCTACTTGTGGCCAGTGATTGGCAGAGCCACTGTTGTCTCGAAGAAGGAGGTTCTCTACATACCCTTCTTTGGCATTGGAGCTTGGCTCTGGGGAACTCTGTACATCAATCGGTCCCGCAAGACCGATTCGATCAACTCGCTGCAGAAGGAGGCCAAGGCGATACAGGAGCGGAACTGCAAGCTGCTGCTCTTCCCCGAGGGCACTCGCAACACCAAGGACTCGCTGCTGCCCTTCAAGAAGGGCTCGTTCCACATCGCCCTCCAGGGCAAGAGTCCCATCCAGCCGGTGGTCATATCGAAGTACTCGTTCATGGACGACGAGAAGAAGACCTTCCGCCCCGGCCACGCCCTCATCCACATCCTTCCAGAGGTGTCGACCGAGAAGTACCAGAAGGAGCATATTCAGCTGCTGATCGACGAGTGCCAGTCCATCATGCAGACGGAATACACGAAGCTGAGTAAAGAAGGCCTAGCCTTGAGCTCGAAGAAGCAGTCATAGGACTGGTTAGGCTACGAATTAACTCAGGTTACATGAAAATAATACACTAGTTCCTGCTAGAGGATTTAATTTGTATTGAATCTACAAGATTTTTCTAAGCGTGAAAAAGAGGAATCAAAACGTAAGGGACGTGGACCATTTGCCTACTATTACGCTTCACTGAATCATGTTATGGGTGTATTTTCGATTAATATTAACTGTTTTACCTCCAGCACATTCGTGTGTATGCCTAGAGCTTTTTTTGTGACCAAAAGAAAAATCACAAAAGAAATTTTTACAAAAGAAGAAAGAGCACATTTGTTAGATGTTTAGCTTAATGCGAATAATATATTGATTTATATGTGAATAATGAAATGAGACTATTTAATAAAACATTTCGCAATGAACAATAACAGATTTTAAAATAAAAGTGTTTGACGGGGATTTTATTTTTGGCGCTTTCAAGAACAAGAAATTGGCTTACAAGAACCTGGCTATTTCACAACATTTTGAATTCTAATATTTCTGATAATATTTTAAACTGTAGTTTAAATGGGCGGACTTTTTAAATTTGAAAACATATGTTTCCAAATTTATAAAAGTTATCGTTTGTGTACCATCCGCAGACAAACAGCTGTTTCTTCCGATATCGATTGGCGGCAATACAAAAGATAAACAAAACATTTTCTGTTAATTTATTTTAATTTTATTCGTTTTGTTTTGTAAACCAAGTTTCAATTAAAATGTCAAGTGGCGAGATAAATCTTGGATTGACTGGAGATTCACCGCCCGAAGAGGAGCCTCCCAGTGAGAAACTAGAATCAAAGGAATCAACCGGGGAGCAGCCGGAAAAGCTGTACGACATCAACAGAATCCGAACTTTTAAGGATGTTCCCTTTCTAATAAAACGCATGGAGAGCGAGGACATGATCGTGACGTATGGCACGGCGGTTGAAGAAGTACAGATATTGCTGAATTTCCTGCAGGACAAGATTCCATCCGGATCAGGAATTGCCCTTCGAATCACAGAGCACACGCCAGCCTCTTGTCTTCTGATTCTAGCGTAGGAGTCATGCTAACTGCTATCCCTTTTCTTTTATCCGAATTAATGAATGTAATCTTGCAGGATACTCAACCACAAGTGCCACTTCTTTCCCACGGACAAGATGATGCTCTCCCAGGAGCTGCACGAACAGATGTGCGCCGCCGGAGTGGACTATATTGTGGCCAACAAGCATTTGTCCGTGTCTCCGTTGCATTTTGAGAGCATGTTTACCATCCTGGTCTTAAAGGAGGTCTGCAAAATGTATATGGTGAAGCATAAATCCAGCGATCTTAATGTATCTACCAAGAAGTCCCTCCCTGCCAATATGTGCTATACTATTACAACCACCGGAAGTACAGGAAGCCCAAAGATTGTACATGTGCCCTACGAGTGCATCGCCCACGACATTGTGGCGCTCAGGTAAGTGGTCGTTCAGCATATATATGCCCAAACTAATCGTCATTTTCTCCAAGCCAGAAGCTCAACATTTCTATGGCCGACATCATTTACCTTGGAACACCCTGCACCTTTGATCCCTTCGTGGTGGAGTTCTTTCTGGCTCTGCAAAATGGTTCTACTTTACTGACCAGCCGGCATTCTATTAGGGAATCTCCCAGCAAGTTGCTATGTGCCCTCTTTCCCGACAACCTCGCCACGCCGGGCATTACAATTCTGCAGATGACGCCGTCACTGTTCCGGCAATTTGGAGCCACTTGTATCAGAGATCGAGTGTTGAGCAGGTCCAGTTCACTCAGGTGCGAAAAGATTAGGAAAAATACATATATGGAATTTCCTTGATATATTTAAATCCTTTTTAGAGTGCTGCTCCTTGGCGGTGAACCGTTTCCCTCGAGTGCTGAGCTCGTTACTTGGATGGATTCGAGTGTCCTGTTGCAGAAACACATTTGCAACATCTACGGAATCACAGAGATATCCTGCTGGAGTCTCCTGCACATCGTGCAGTCTCTACAGACACCAGTGCCTTTAGGCACGCCCATTGACGAGGATACGGTTATAAGGATTGAGTTCCAGAACGACAAGGATTCGAACCAAGGAGAGCTCTTTCTGGGCAGTGCCACGCGGCGTTGCTATATACCACAGATAGATGACAAAGTGGATACTTCAAAAGACGATTCCGGCATTTGTTTCAGAGCGACTGGAGATCTGGTCACGCGGGAGAAGGATGGTACATTATTTTATGGGGAAAGAACAAACGATGTGGTGAAGAGAGCCGGAAATCGCATTAGCTTGGGTGAGCATTACTTCTCTACTTAAAAATAATATAAGTTTATAAATTACCCTACATAAATGCAGGTTTAATCACTCGCAAAATACAAAAGTGCCTACTCAGCAGCGAACTGACGAATTGCCTTTGGCTGGAGGATTTGCAAAAGCTCATCTGCTGCATTCGCACCTTAGAAACAAAGACCCGAGTTCAACAGCGGGCCCAGACCTTTGACATACTCTCCAAGGTGTCGATTGCAGAGCAGCCAGATAGGTTTGTCTACCTGCAACACTTCCCGTGCAACGTTCATGGCAAACTGGACAAGCAACAACTGCTCAAGATGTGCATTCCCCTTGCTCAACCCGCTCAGCAAATATTGAAGAGCTATCTGCACGATAGACTGGAATGTGTGGAACAGACTGATGATACAGCGGCGAAGAGGCAGAAAATGGAGAGCACTGATCCCTGTGGCTATGACTTGAGCTTTCGCCAGGCGGGTGGCACATCCTTCCACGCCATCACCATTTGCCGGGAGATAGGCCTTCAAATGTGCATCGATGATGAGCAGCGTCACCTGTTCGAGATGCTGCTGGACGAGAACGTACCCTTACGAACAGTCTTAAGGTTCTTGGACACGGCAAAGTTGGTGGCCAACAGTATCAAGCGGAAGTCCGGTGAAATGGCGGCAGTTAGTTCCTGCCAAGGCGGCTTGGTAATCAAACGAATTGAACAGCCGGTCCTCAAGCTTCAGTTTCACTGGAAGGTAAACTTCGATAAGTGCATAGACTCCCCAGTAAATGAATACGAAGGACGCTTCATTTGCGTGGGCGCACATTCCAAAATTTTGCGAACTCTGGATCCACAGACGGGCAACGAACTTAGTGTCGTCAGACTGCCCAATCGCATCGAGTGCAAGGTGACCTTTCTCAGCGAGCAGCTTGCCATGGTTGGCTGCTACGATGGTTGTCTGTACGGCTTCAATCCCCAGAACGGCGACCATGTGTTTTGCGTGGGAATTGGCGGCATGATTAAGTCCCAGCCCTTGCTTACAGCCGACGGTCGACGAATCATAGTTTGCAGCTATGCAGAGGACTACAACGTCTATTGTTTATCAGCAGAGCGGCAGGAAGTCCTTTGGTGCCTGAAGATTGGCGAGAAGGCTATCTTCGCAGGACCTCTGGAGTTGCCCAGCGAACAGTCGCTTATCATCTGCACTTTAGATGGCAGCTGTTCGCGTGTGGCCATCACCGATGGCTCTGTGGAGTGGACGCAGAAGCACAGGGAGCCGATTTTCTCCACGCCTGTTCTTCTAGAATCCAAGTCCAATATCTTTCTGGCCGCCGAAGTTGCTGGCCGAGTGCACGCTTGTCATGTGGGCAACGGAAAAATTGTGAGTACTATATTTCTGATAGCACTTTTAATCAGCTTTAAGCTAATAAAATGTTATTTTTTTAGTTGGCCACCTACACCGCAGAAGGAAACATCTTCTCCTCGCTGGTGGTCAAGACCCCGCCAACTTTCATGGGACATTCCTTTGTGGTCTTCGGTTGTATTGATAAGCATGTCTATTGCCTGCGTTGCAAAACCGCACCGGGCGCCAAATCGGTTGATTTCGAGCTGCACTGGAAGACCAACGTGGGTGCTCCCATCTATGCAACGCCCAGTCTGCTCACGGTGCAACCCAATGGACTCCTGGCTTGGTGCGGCGCCACCGATGGACGCGTCGTCCTGATGAACTTCAGGAATGGCGAGATTCAGTGGTCAGATAAACTTCCCGGCGAAGTGTTTTCCAGTGCCTGCTATATTGAGAGCCTTCGACGGGTGTACGTGGGATGTCGAGATAACTTTCTGTATTGTCTGGGCATTTAGATATTTACTAAAATACCAAACAATTCCATTTACAAAAACTAGCAACCTAAAATTAATATAAGATATTGTGCCTTATTGTGTTTAAAGAGTGCATTTAAAATTCATTTTCGTGAATTAATATCAATAATAATAATAATGTGTCAAATATTCATAACATTATCAGAATAAGAACATTTAAATAATATAGTGTTATTTTGTCTATAGCTACTATTAAACACCAAGCTTATAGGCAATTTATAATTTCCTTTTAAACTTGACAATAAATAAATAAAGAAATAAGTTTTATTTTGTATTTAAGATTTTTCTTAATCATTTTAAAACTTATATGAATTTATATCAAGCGGAAGAACTAAACCAAAAAGCGATTGTTCCCCTAGCTTCCTTACTTATATTATATTTTAAGATATTATATATTTTTTTTATTTTAACCTATATTTTAATAGTTTATAAGAATCACATTAGAAGATTAACAATCCGGGGCGCTGCAGAAATCTCTCCCAACTGAATTTTTTACACACTTTCAGTTGCAGATTTCTGCAGCACTCCGAAATATGCTTCTCCTTTGAGATTCTTTCAATTTGTACACTGGACAGATGTGTTCATCTGTTCCATCGGTGGAGTCTTCGGAACACCTCTGTGTCCAGATCAAGCCGCACCTGCTGCATTGCAGGCAGCACAATGATGTGACTGAGCACTTTGACTTCCTGCCCTTCAGCTCCTCCCGGATATCCTTGATGGCTTGTTGCTCTCGGTGCGTAAGCCTTGGAGCTCTGTACAGGGCAGTGAGCGACCTCCTGTGTTTGGGAATCTGCTGCTCTTGTTTCTTGCGTTGCTTCCGTTTTTCCCTTTTTTGGGCAATCAAAGCTTTTCGCTTCTGTTTCCGGTTAGCTTCCAAAAGAATTTCTGTGGGTGACTTAGCCTGTTTGGCAATGAATGCTGCCCAAACTTCCCTCCTTTTTTCCAGAAAGGCTTCATTGAAGTCAATACGTTCATAGTGGCAGCTATCGCCAGAATTCTTTGAGGCTACTTCCTCCTCTGCTCTTTGCATTTTGCTTTTGTCCTGCATTATCTTTATTCTTTTTTCTCGGGAAAGCGCCTCCAATTGGTGGCTTATAAATTGGAAATTTCGCTCCAGGATTGGGAGGTTTTCCTCGTATTTATCATCAGAAATGTGTTTGCCAATCGATAGTATCAGGATATTGTAATGCTGAGGATCATATTTATATTTCCTAAAAATCTCTAGTTCGTCCTCATTTATAGGCACATGCCTACCCATGATCATTTGCTCCATTCTCTCCACGTCCTGATCAAAAAGCCTAGATCTCAACCAATCCATTTGGGAACGGATGAAGATTTCGTGAATAGGCTTTATCGGGGAAGTGTCGGTATCAGATGATTTTTTAGGCATTGCATACCTATTTGGTACCTGATAACTGGCCCGAATAGACCTATATGAAACTTGAGACCTTCTAGATCCTGTTTCTGACCTTCCGTCTATGTTTATGTCGGCTTTAAGCTGCTTGACATGATTGTGTAATATCTTTTGCACATTGTGAATGTATCGCCACTTGAGAATTTTCTTTAATTTGTGCGCATCCTCAGGGGTTTTAGCTATTCCCGAATACTCCTTATGTTTACCCAGCAAATCGCCCAACACTGCATTTATTTGATCCCGTTGCCTATACTTTGGTAAAAGGTTTAAAGTACTATTGGTTTGTAATCTCGTGGTATCGATTTTTTTGTGAAATCTTTTTGGTTCTTCTAAAGATATTCTTTTTTGCTCGTATAAACGGTTGATAATCTCGGTGGCCGTTGATGACATGGGTAGCAGTGGCTTTGTGGACAACCTTTCTACACCATCCAATGGTTTAGCAGAGGTTGCTCCAAAAGGAGTGGATGTTCTCTGCTTTACTAACGGAAGGGTGTTCCTATAAAATATCGCAGAGTCGCCTACACTCATAAAAATTAATTTCTAAATTTTGGAAATCTCGCCATTGAATCGGCCTACCTTTGAAAATAGAAAAAAAATTTCTTGTTATTAGAAAATTGGCCTTTGAATACAGAAAACCTTTCTTGATGGAAAAAATTCAAGAAAGAATTTTTCTTAAAAATAGAAAAATGAAAATCTCATATGTCTGTTTTGCCGTCGCAGCCAAAACATTTTTGTACGTATTTTAGGACAAAATCGCCTTTGAATATATGAATGAAATGACCCTAGAATATAGGAAAGTAGCCATTGACTTCCTTCGGCTGCCGAATGTTAACGACAAGAAAAACGAAGTGGGACGAAGGGCCTACTCGGCCCGACTACTATCCGGCTACCGACTTCTCTGATCCCCCGAGCGTCAGTTGTGAAAAAAATTCGTGAGTGATGGACGTGATTTTCAAGCGGATAAGAGGTGAAGCCTTTTTCCGAATATTCAAAGGTATGTAAATATGTATATAATTTTTTGTATAGCGGGCGTACAATTGTATGTATGTAATTAAAGGATACATTTCAAATCTCTTTAACAAGCGTATACCAATTTAGGTGAATTGTTTTTTAGCTAAGAGCTACGTACATACATACATTTGTACATAAATTTGTGGGTGTACAGTTCTATAATAACTTTATCTTATTACTCGCATTTTATTTATTTTTCAGAGTGAAAATACCTGCAGTTGCAACAGCCAAATAATTGGTTTGTCGAAGCTGTAATTTTGTTTTAAAACCTTCTAAGGTAAGAAAAATATGTTGTATTTGTTTGACATACTTATGTATGCATGTAAATATCTATGCATGTACGCGGCTCACCCGATCTGAAACCCGATTTTCAACCCTTTCATATTCTGCTCCTCTCTCTCGCTCGCTTGACCTACGCGTCGCGACGTTTCTCTCTACTCCTTCTTAAAATTGTCATGATCTGACCTGCTTACATTCGGTCTCCCTTCGCGCAAAGGACTGTATGTAAATATATATGTATGTATGTGGCTCTTTCTGAAATTAGATTTTCAACCCTTCCTTCTTCATTTTCTACCTGTCTTGCTCCTCTCTCGGTCGTCTGACCAACGTGTTTGTATTTTGGCTATTATTAACATTACATTATTATCTATTATCTAAAAACATCTATCTATTCTTATCTAAAAACAAATCATTGATATCCCAATAACTCTTTTTTTCCAGATGAGGAAAGCCGAAGAAAATAATTTTTTATGCCTGCAACTACATATTTGGTTATAATAATGTTTTCTTAAGTCAAAAATGTGTTATTTAAAATTGTTTAAATGTTCAGTGTTAAATGTTTTAAATTTAAATAAATAAAATATGCAAAAGAAAAAACCAAGTTACATTTTATTTTTAGGGTTTCAGTGTTAATATAAAACTTCCCTTCAAGAAATATTATTTCTTAAATCAAGAAATAAAATTTCTTGAAAGGAAATTTAAACAAGAAAGAATTTTTCTTGTTCAAAAGGTGCCTTTCTAAAAAACCCTTTCTTGTTTTAAGAAATTTAATTTCTTGAAACAAGAAACAAACCACCTTTGAAACAAGAATCGCCTTTCTTGTTTTAAGAAATATTTTTTCTTGTTTTTATGGTGGCTTTCTAAAAAACCCTTTCTTGTTTTAAGAAATTTAATTTCTTAAAACAAGAAATATTTTTTCTGGTTTTAATGGTGCCTTTCAAAAAAACCATTTCTTGAAACAAAGGTGAGGTCGCCTTTGGCAAAAATTCAAGAAAGAATTTTCTAGATTTTAAGGAAATTCTTCGATTTTTTTTTATGAGTGTATAAGAGGGTTGTACTTTGTGATTTCAAAATACCTTGATGGGATTACTTGGTTGGTGCTTCTATTTTCTAATTCCATTTCATTGAAGCTTTCATCAGACTTTTCTTTTCCTTTAACAATTGAACTTTGCCGCTTGAAGTTGTGAGATCGGAATGCGGATCTTAATTTTTGGTAGGTACCAGAATGATTAATTGATTTAGTGGTTTTCGAAATATCCTTAGAAGGCTCATGTTGTGCTTCTTGTTTCGATATGTCGGACCTTAAAATCTCCTCTTTGGGCGTTGGGTAATTTCTTTGTGCCCTTTTATGGCTTCCCAGCCACAATTTTATTTTTGGTAATTTATTTTTTAACAAATCTTTGGACTGGATACTTTTTTTAAATGTTTTGATCCTTCGGTTTTTCTGTTTTACCTTATTTTTATGTTCCTTTGCCTCAGTAATTGAGGGATTTACTTCTTTGGGAACTGTCTTATTATTGATCTCACTTGTAGTATTTTTATTGCGAGGATAAACTTTAATCTGTACCTTTGTCGCGGGTAATTCATCGGTGCTTCTTGAATGAAACACTGCAAAGTCGTTCTTAACCTCAATTGAAGAATTAATTGAATCCTTATTTGCTTTATGGTTTAATTCATTAATGGTATTCTGATTCTTTGTTTTTTGGTGAAATTCTTTCGAGTTTTCATTACCCTGAATTGAAGAAATAATGGTATCCTTGTTCTTCCTTCTTTGGTTTAAATTCATTGAGTGTTTATTAAATGTAGCTTCCTCTTCTACAAGTTTAGAAAAAATAGCCCCCAATTCCTTTTTTTTGGGAACCTTGTAAGGTCCTTTTGGACGTGGAATTTTTATAATTTCACTGTTTTTCTTTTTTGTTTCGCTTTTATTGTAGATTTCAATAGCATTAAAGAACTCCCATATAGCTTTTTCAAAGGAACTTTTTGGTGTACGTCTTCTGGACCTATTTTCCCTTCTTCCATGGATTTTCATCATATCCTTTGTAACTTTCACACATTCTTTAGCTTCTGTTAAATTTCTGTTAGCTAAAATTCTTAAAAACTCCAGTTTAGTTTGTAAAGGTCCATCGTGAGTATTTATTGGGGTTTGAGTCCAAAAATGCTCAATAATGGATTTTTTTAAGTTGTTTAAACTTTTTCTGAGAAATAGGCTGTGTGACCTGTGACTTTTTAATTTCCGTAAAAGATTCCTTAGCCTTCTTTTGTTGCGTTGCTCTAGCGTATAATTTTTTTGCAGCTGTCGGTTTTGACTCCGTATTAATTTAATGCATTGAGCTAGCATGGATCGATTCTGATGGAGAGTCATCTTATGAATCGTCTTAAATAAAGTGCTCTTATCCGCCAACAGACTGTGTAAGCTAGTTTGCAATCGATGTGCTTTCGTCTTGTGCCTCTTAAAACCCTTGTATTGGAGATTTTTTTGTTGTATCCGGTAAGTGAAAGGTCGACCATAATTTCGTTTGAAAGCCATGCTTAGTATGGTATCGCAAGTATAAAACAAACAAAACCCGGCTCAAGAAAAATAAAAGAAAAAACTGATGTTATTCTCAAAGTTTCTGCGAAAGCCTAAAATCTACAAATGTCTTATATATTTAAAATATTAAAAAATATTTTTTTATATATTTAAAATTATAAATGAATTAAACAAAAAAAAATCCTTTTTAAATAATGTGATAGTGTCATAAAAATTAGATATCGTTTTGAGACCATGAAGAAAATCTCGATACGTTTCACAAAGAATCACTCAAATACCGAAAATTTATAACTTACCCCAAGTTTAAATTTAGAAATTTTCTGAAAAATCTCAAAGGATCCCAAAACTTTTTTTTTATAATTTCTTCAAAGTTATATTTATTCGATTTTGTAAGATTAATTTTTCTTGGTTTTCGCTGATTTCTTTAGGATCTCCGCTGCCTTGGCCTTGTTTAGACGCATCTGCTCCAGGTCCTTTTCCCTCTGAGGAATCACTTCCACGGTGTTGGGTATCCGAGGACATTTCTCTGGCTTTGAAGTAGCGAACTGTGAAGTAGAAGGTTGTTCCGCATCCGCCACTTCCGATTCAGTTGGAGACTTTCGCTTGCCACGTTTGGGACGGGAGGTTGCAGGCTCGCCTTCTACATTATCACCTGCCACAGGAGCAGCCTTAGCCCGTTTTGCGCGTGTCACCTTCTTTGGCTTCTCCGGCGTGTCATCGATCTTTCCCGACATCTTATCAATCGCCAGTTGCACACGTTTACTGACTTGTGGCTGCTGAACTCGCAAAGCACTCTTGGCCGTAAAATAATTGCGGATGGATCCCTGGATCTTCTTTTCGTTGATCTTTTTCATAACCGGCATGAGAATGTCATCGGTTTTCGAAGTGGTCCAACCGAAGGACTTTCGCGTGAATTCCCTTATCGATTCCACGTCCGGTGTGCCCCAGCTGAAAGCATCCCGATTGTCGTCGATCGTGGGATCTAGATAAGCCTCCACCACAGCCCCATTGGGGAATCCCTCGTGCAGCTCGATGTTCTTCAGTTTCTTGCGGAGCGAAAGTCTTGCTGAGCTGCCGGGCGGAAGATTACTGTTCTTGTGTGCCTGCCACCAATCGCGAAACTTGATCAATGTCTGCAGCACCGATTGATTGCAGGCACTTGGGACACTCGCTTCCTGGCCGGAAAAGGAGGCCAGAATCTCCAGGGCCGTCACAGCACCAATGCCATGGATTCCGGTGGTGTAGTCGCTGCCCACCAAGCAGGCCAGCTGGATCAGTTTGCCCCTGTTGCAGTTGAACGTTTGCTCGATTTGTTCCGCCCGAAATTCCAGCACATGCTTGTTCTGGGCAAAGAAGTTCTTGTAAACAGTTCGACCGCCGAACAGCCAGATATCGCTGTCATCCGTTATGGTGCCGTGGGTGAGATCGGTGGCGTTGAGGAAGGCGCATTGCGCCTCCGCCTCCATGGGCGCAACAATGTACGGGATGCCGAAAAGGCGCAGCAGCTCCTGGCAATCGATGCTCATGCGCTGACTGATGGACATCCCCATGCGGTCCTGCCGGTTGCGTTCGATCTCCAGCTCCTTGCGTTCCTGGGCCAAGTTGCTGGCCATTTCATGCAGCTCCTCGGAGGTCTTCTGCGACTTTAGGGCTTCGGCTGCATCCTTTATAAGTTCCTGCAAGAGTTAAGAGCAATTTTAGTATTGATATTTAATATTCAACGAATCTTTCTTAAGCTTAACAATTTACTTATTTATTTTCTAATTCGACACCTTGAAAAAGACCAAATTAAAATAAAAATGTATCTAAATTGACACCTCAGACGAGATGAAGGCCTTAGCTGCTAGAGCTCTTAATCTTAGTTAGCTTATAGTTTTAACTTTAAGCTTGCTTTATATAAATAAATAAATAAATAAATAAAAACTGATTATTTTTCCCTTAACCCTAAACTTACCTCAGGATCCACAGTCTTTTTATTTTCCGTCTCCTTCGTTTCAAAGAGTGACTTTGAAGCCTTACTGGATTTTTTCGGGGAAGATACCTCCTCATCACTATCCTCCTCCCCATCATTTGCCCTTTTACGTCCAGACTTTGGTGTTCTTTTTCTGTAGAAGGGCTGCGGAGTCTTGGGTGTTCCAGGAGGCGTTTTATCTGCCGCTGGAGATTTGTCGGGCGTTCGCTTGACCACATAACTGGTGTCGAAGAAATCCTTAATCGACTTGTTCTTGCAGGGCGTTTTGTTCGGTGAAATGCGGTTTTGTTTATTATCGTCGCTGTCGCACAATTCAATTACTTCCTCCTTGGAAACGGTTTTCGTGGCTTTCGAGGCCACTTCATCGTCGGAGGATAAAACGATGGCACTATCGCTTAGTTTCACTTGATCCAGACTGATGTTTTTAACTTCGGCCATCTTCATTTTTAGATCATCTAATATAGAACTTAGTTCAACCTTGGGTACTTCTTTTGCCTCCTCAGTTAAATTTAGTTGAATGCTTTTAACAGCAGCGGTTTCCTTTTTTAAATCGCTTAAAATCGAGTCTAGATCAGGTTTCGGTTTTACTTCTGAGGGAATATTTTCTTGGCTGTCTTTCACTTCGATAATTTCATCAAAATGTTCTTTAAGTTGAGTAGTTTCCTGCATGCTTTTATCTTTGTTGGGTTTATCATTATCTTGAGAATCCAGTGCCATTTCCTCGCTATCTTTAACCTCTATAAAGTCATCATCATCATCATCGCTTTCCTTGGCATCCTTTTCCTCAAATATATCCGCAAACAGATCGTTGGAGTCCTTTAGGTCTTTTGTGATGTCTACACAAATCTGCAGGGTTTCTTTATCTTTAGGTGGCTCTTGGGATTCCATAACTTCTTCCAAGTCTGAATCGGTATCTGTATCTACCATCTCCACCTTATCCTCGTTTGGACTCTTCTTACTTTCCTCAATCGCTTGGGAGATCTGCCTGCTCTCTTCGATGGCTTGTGATATTAGTTTGGCCTCCTCAATCGAATCGTTTGCCATGTCTGCGGGCACAGTGGTGGTCTCGAGCAGCTTCTCCAGGCTTTGCGTGTCATTGAGCTGAGTGTTTTCCATGATGTTGCCCACTTCCTCCTTGTTCATTCCGCCGTATTCAATCATATATGCCCTAGCAGGTCCCTTGGCCGCATGGCGCAACTGTTTGCTTTGAGCCCGGTTTAGCCGCAACTCTTGATCCGAGTCGTACTCGTAGTCCTTCTCGTCGTACACCTTGGTCTCCTCCATTGACATGGACAGAGCTTTGGCCAAATCCTCATCGAACTCAGTGCCCAGGTCAGTATATTCCTCAGACTCTTTTTTGGTGGAAGTGCTGGGCTTCTCCTCCTCCTCTTCGGGCAGCTCCTCAATCATCTCTACTTTCACCTCCTGCTTGGTGCTCTCCAGAGCCTTTTTCTTAAGATCCCTGACCAGCAGAAATCGCGTGTGTTCATCCGAGCTGATCTGCCGGGTGCTCTGTTCAATGGCCGTTGGCGTGACGATGCCCTCCTCGCTGAAGAAGTCGCACAGCTCCGAATAGGTGAGCGTGTGACCGCCCATCTCCTGCTCCGCCTGCTCCAAACTCTCCTGAACGGCGCGTCGCTTGAGAAGCCGCTTCATTTGAAACGAGGCAAAGTCGTCGCTGCGGGCGGGCAACTCGTGCAGGCGGCCCCACGAGGATTGCTTGCGCGTCTCCTTGATGTCCGTGAGAATCTCGTGCCGCACATCGGCGGGCAGGTTGCGAAAGTGCTGACTCTTCACATCGATGGCCTGCAGACTGGAGTTGTAGGAATGCCGAGCGGTTGACTCGTCAAAAGAGCTATCTGAGGCGCTGGTGTCCTGTTCGCTTTCGTCGGTTTTATCCACTTCCGCCGTTGCAGCCGGAAGTTCCGGCAGCTTGAACAGATCATCCTCGTCGTTCTTCTTTGCTGGCGGTGGTCGCTTCACCGGAGACTTGAGCAGAAGCTCCGCATTCTTGCCCAGCGCCTGCTGCACCACTTTCTCCTTGGCCAGGGATTGCAGAAGCAGCGCCTGAATGCGATCTGCTTCGTTGCTGAGCTTGTTCCTCTGCTGCTGGCGACGGGCCTGGGTAGGTCAACCAAAAAATAATAATAAGTTAAAGATTTATCCCAGAGGAAGCTACCAAATCAACCCACAATGGTGTCCCTTTTGAGCTGCGGCACACAACCATCGAATATGAAAACCGGTCGCACACGATAGTAAAGCAACTTGCAGAGGCGGTGGAACAACCCCAGTAGGTGGGCATTACTCAGGGCCGATCCCTTGCTGTCCTGAAAGCCCTTCACCACCTGATGCAACCAAATAGAGATATCTGCAAGGGAAATACAACTCCAATGAGAAACTATTTCATTAAACTGCGCAATCCAAGCTTACCCACTGCCAGAATTTTACCCTCCAAAGTCTCCACGGGCACAGGTTTGCCGCACGGCTCGATGAGCTTCCACAGGCCCGTAACACCCATTGCTCCAGTAAATATTTCCTATATAAAACATGCAAAATAATAAAATATATACACGGAACTTTTTGCAATGAGCTTGGGAGACGCGGCTTCGATCGGTTTAAACAGCTGTTCGTAGTGTTGGAAAGGCACGTGTCAAAGTAGCAGTGATGCGCAAGGCAGTGACTTTGAAAAGAGTGATTTTGTAGTCACATAATTATTATTTAAAATATATGATCAGCGATCTAGAATATTATAATTTATAATATTGATTATTATTAATTAAATGATTGCTTGATTGATTGATTTTACATAAAGAGACTTATGTAACTCTGATACTGATTATATTTAATGTTCAATAGATGAATGCCTAATACTAGTTTTGCGCTTAAGGACTAAAGATGACAATGCTTCCGGATCAGTTAGTTAGGATCTCTTGCGATCACTCGGTCGCTTCCTCGGCGGCTGCCGTGCTGCTGGCGTTGGCATTCTCGGAGCTGCTCGTGTCCTTCTTGCTGGCCTTGCTCTCCTTTTTATCCTTGACCATTTTGCGATAGACGTCCAGATCCTGCGTCAGCGAGGGCACGAAGCTCTCGAAGTCCAGCTCGGTGAGGGTCTGCAGGATGTCCTTGGCCGTGATGGTCTTGTGATTCTGCTTGTGGGCCAGGGCCGTCGACGAAGAGGTCACAAAGATGGCAAACACGGATGCTGCCCGGGCGATCGCGCCGCGCGCCTCCTTGCTGACGCTGGCCGACTCCGGCAGCGCCTCCTTGATGAGCCGGGCGATCACGGAGTTCGGCAGATTGAGGTCCTCGATGCGTTCAACCATTGCGCTGCTATTAATCTCTCGTTTCAATTGATAAGTATTTCCGTTTTCCCGTGGCGGCGTCGCTGCTTCCCGCGTAAAGAGAAGAAGAACAATCAGCTGGGCGGCTAGTGTTGGGCAACGACTGCATGCACGCATCTACTGCGTCGAAGTGGCAACGCCCCCCCCAAAATGTAATTCTGTTTGCGCCCCCTCGTTCGCGTCAATTGTTTACACACATTTTCATAAATAACAGCCAACAATCGCGGCCTAAATGTGCAAGGAGCGGTTCGGGCCAAACTTGAAGCTGTTCCCCACCGAACTCACGTGATACGAGCCCTGTGCGTGCGCCCGCGACCACGCACATGGAGCAGCAACAGGCGACGCCGCCAAAGAAGCGCAGGCACAGCGAGTACCACGATCCCGATTATCACCAGTCGGATGTTCCTCCCAGCCAGGATGAGGATGAAACTGGGAGCCAGGAGAGTGACCCGTCACTCCAAAGGAAGCGACCCAAAGTGGAGCAGACGGAGGAGCTTCCTCCTCCCGCTGACAAACTGCAGCGCATCCGGGAGCTCCTGCGTCTGGAGTTCCAAAGGGAAATCACCCAAAAGGTGGAGCAGCTGGCCGAGATCGACCGACGACTGCTGCAGGGGCGCCAGTTGCTGGACAAGCTGCGCTACCAGGTGGTCAGCGAGTACTACCGCAAGCAACAGGTTCCCCTCACCGCCGCCGACGTGGCCAAGGTGCGCGGCGATAGCCTATTTTCGGACGATGTGTCCGCCCCCCAGCTGCCCCTGCATCCGGCCATCAAGAAGATCGTTGGCAAGCGCCCGGTTCCCATCCAGAATCATCTCCCAGAGCGCACGGCGGCCACCTTGGCCAAGCAAACCATTAGGCTCAGGAATCCGGCCCATCGACGGGCGGAAAGGAGGCGTCAGCAGAAGATTAAAGAGCAGGGAATCGTTACCGATCACTCCAAGGACAAGGAACCTCCCATTCCCGTCAAGCTGGAGGAGGAACAGCCCTGCACCAGTCGCCAGGCCCACGAAAGGCAACTGGAGCTGAATGCCTCGCGGCTGAACAACAAGAACAAGTTCAATTTCGTCGTGGGCAACACCTCCAAGTACATTGGCGAGGGTTCCCGAGCGAAGACCACAAATGGGCAGGCTCTGATCTACAAGTGGTTGGTCTACGTACAAGGCAAAGGGCTTCCCCAACCACTGGGAACGTACATTAAGAAGGTAGGAATTCCGCTAGAAACCTAAAGAGTGATTCCTAAAACCCTTTCTTCTATTCCCTTTCTAGGTGCGTTTTCACCTGCATCATTCCTACCGACCCAACGACATTGTGGACGTGCACAGTCCTCCGTTTCAGCTAAATCGACGTGGCTGGGGCGAGTTCCCCATGCGCATCCAGCTCTTCTTTCAGGATCACTTGCAGCAGAAGCCCGTGCAGCTGATGCACACGGTGGTGCTGGACAAAACCATGTGTGGTTTGCATACGATGGGAGCAGAAACAACTGTGGAAATCTGGCTAAGAGCGGAGCAGGCATTGACGAAGCGGAAAAGTGTAAAGCCTGCACTCCCTGCTTCTCCGGTGGCTGCTCCTCCTCCATTAGAACCTGCAGCCTTTGCCACTCCCCTTGAATCCTGCAAGCCGCGTACCATTTCCATCACTCAAAACAAGGAGGAACTGGATGACAATCTGTTTGCGGGCATCAACAAAATCGAACTGAGCGACGACATCGAGCAGATTGAACCGACGGTTCTGGTATCGGAGCCCCTGAAGCTGAGCTACAGTCCCAGAAAGCCGCCATCGACGCCTCCGCGGGCGCAGCTTCGTTTAAATGCGGCTCCGGTGAGCGCATCTCGACCTTCGGTGGTTTATTTGCCTGTGAATGGCAGGAGTCCCAGGCAGGAATCTTTGCCGGGGAGGAGGCAACTGGAGTTCTCGCCGGTGAAGCAGGAAACCTCGCCGGAGAGGCCACCCATAAAGCCAGTGCGCAATGGCCAGAATGGCCAGAAGAATGTGGTTTTCCAGAGAGCAGGCAAGCTGTACATCATCGATCCTCTACAGCGGAAGCTCAAGCAGGCTGCCAAGCAACAATCGCTGCTGAAACCGCAACTGAGTCTTCTGAAACCGCCATCTCTAACGCGCTGGCATCTGCTACAGTGCATGCAGCATGACCATGGCTATGCCAACATGAGTGGCGCGGTTGAGGAGAAGCTATCATATATTTCGCATTCAGTTGTGGAAGCAACTCAACATGCGCGACCTCGAAGGCTGGAGCAGATCTTTGGCAGCGCCCAGTTCCGAAATATGCGCAGTGCCGTGGAGTTCCTCCTGCGGCGACTGCCGCTAACAGCGATGGATCAAAAGAAGGAGTATCCTTTTACCTGTAATACCCTCGATGAGTTCCACAAGTTGACTGCCCTGAAGCAGCGGTGTTTTGAATACCTGCGGGCCCGCCTCCTGCGTCGCTGTCTCATGCAGCATCACAAGCTGCAGCAGCTGGATGTCAGTGGCAAGGAGCACTATTGGAGTCTGCGTGAGATTGTGGGTTTTGCCAGGGTCCATGGCTACACGCCGCCTCTCAAGGTCGTCCTGCCCAGCTTGGAGAAGAAGCGGAAGAGGAAGCTGGAGGCCGAGGAGCAACTTGCTCAAAGGGTGCAGGCGCAATTGAAAGGCGAGCCGCAGCCGCAGCTCTCCGCCTATTGTAGTCTAACCTCAGGCAATCGTCTGGATGCTTGGATAGCCAAACAAACGCAACGGCTACTGGGACACGATCAAAAGATGCGGGACAAGGAGTTCATAGATGTGCTGGGCGTGGATAAACCTCATTCGCAAGCCTCCAAAGAGGTTCAATTAACGAGAAGATCCCTCCAAACGGTGAGCAATCGTCAACTGCTCTATTTGCCTCCACCGAAGCACTTGGATTCGGCCTTGCAGCTGGTTCAGGAAATGTGCAAGGACATCAATATCAGCCTGGAGCCCGAGGAATCTCCGCCAGGCGTCTCCCAGCCAGTGGCGCTCACCGTGCTCGGCCAGGTGCTGCGCACCTTTGTAGAGCGTTTGGTTCGCCGTTCCCTGGCGGCCAAGCTGCAGCACGAGACCTTGGAACAGCTCCCCCTGGCGGCGGTGGGAAATACTCCGTTGTGCCTGCAGCCCCAGGACATCGGCCGTGTCATTCGCCAGTACTCCGAGCTGGACTTCCTGGGTAACACCCATCTGGGTGTTTCTCCCCTGGAGCCGCAAACCTAATGGTCAGTTGCCATAGTTTTGAATTTATTTTTTATCAAGTGCGCGTAATAGTTCAAATTCTACTGGGATATTAGTCGATATCTACTTAGTCTCTTGTACTCGTTAGTAAGCATAAGGTTAAGCAATAAATTAATTAAATTAAAATACAGAAAAAATAAAGATTTTACTATTAATGGTTGAAATATAATTTGGCCATTGGGAAGGGGAAAAAAACGTAACCAAATATTGGGAAACAGTTAACTTGTGAATATTTTTACTTGAAAAAATGTTCAATTACCGAAAAATCTGAAAAATAAATTTGGATGACTCTAAAGGGTTTATACAATGTGGTCCTTACTATTAATGGATTGAAATATTTTAAACTTATGATCCAGAAGATATTGTACATATTATTATGATTTTTTTATTTAAATCATCAAAAAATTTAGATTCTAGATTTAAATACAAATCTATTGGAAATTTGGGATGTAGTACAGATTCTTTTTCTATGTTTTTTCGTCGTAATATAGACCCGCAGATTTCGGGATTCTTTTTTTTTAACTATATGACATCGACAAACATGAAAACAAGAACTATTTTCTTGTGAGGCATGTAAATTTTACCAAAAAAAAATAATAATAACCCATTCTAACGATCGAAATCACTTGGATAAATCAATCATTAATTATCCCTATAAGTATGCAATAAAAAGAGCTCCCATGGAAGGGCAGTAAGATAGAATAACGGTTAACTTCCATATTTTATGCTCTTTTTGTAAGTTTTTTTGCACTACACTCTTCGCCTTTGGGGGCCTTCTCTTCGCTCTCTTCCCCGCTCACCTCTCGATTTCATTCATATTCATGGCATGGGCATGGCGCATGCCGATGAGATCGGGATGGGATCCATCTGTTTCTCTGGCTCTGTTTTCCTTAGTCTCTTTCCCGACGTGCGCGCAACAAGACCTAGAATCACAGTGGAGCAGAGAAGAGCCCGCTTCCCGCGCTTGCCGCCCACTAAATTAACCAAATAATTAGCTCGATACATAATATGATTCACGAGTCATTATAGTAATTATAATGTCGAAGCCTTTCCCAGGCGACATTGCTGCTCCAGTACGTCTAAAATAATCTATATTAAGCTTTTGGATCACCGAATTTTGAGTGCTATTTTTTTTTTGGTGTGTGCGTGCGGTTGTGCGACAGAAAATGTGGAGGCGCTAAAATGTTCTATTTTTATTTTGCAGTAAAATCCACAAGGAGATGCAAGTGTGTAGTATGTTTCTGCTTCTGTTGCGACGCCAAATTGCATTTGCGGCCAGCACGCCGCCGCTCGATCCCTAGATCGCTTTGACCCTTCTCCATTGACTCACTTTTCCTAGTGGTGGACAATCGGTCCGCCCACCTGATTTTTTTTCGGAACGCCAAACAAGCGTTTTCCAATGATGCAAATCCCATTTACTCGGATATTTGAAGTAATTTTCGTGCTGTCAACAATTGTCGCCGTTACAGGTAAGATATTCTATATACCACCTGAATTTAGATAACAATAATATAGAAAAAGCGGTGACAGTATTGCCAGGTTCTCAGACAAAAGCTTTTTCTAACGGGGAAAAAACTGAAAAACGGTCGAAATATTTCTGTACCAATTTGAAATTTCCCTTTTTTTTGTAACTAAAGCTAAATAATTTAAATTTTAAAACTGGTAACAGATAACTAATTATTATTTTTACAAAATTAAAATGAAAAAAAAAATGATGTTTTGTTCTATTCCGAGATCTTGAGTTTTGAACATTAACCATAAACAAAAACACAGATTCAATAGGTATATGTAAATAAAAATGAAAATGTTTTAGCCAACCGTTTCATTTTGAAATATTTTGGAAATAACGTAAATTTATCTTATATTTATTTTTAAAATAAAAAAAAAAGTTCGGTTTTATTGCGCATTTCGATTTATTTGATAATTAAATTTTTTCTGTGTGGAGTACGGTTTTTCTTTTTCCTAACCACACTTTTACGTATCCTTTAGATTGTTGTTCGAGCCGGATCTTACTGCTCCGAGAGCATACGCTGAAAATTGTGCAGCATCAGCACAGCCACATGCACGAGCATGCCCACGAGCTGCAGCAGCAGATCCAGGAGACTGCGGTTGAGTTGCTCAATCGCCTGGAGCTGCAGCGCAAGCAGCTGGAGAATTCCGAACAGGAGGAGGCGGCGGCCGAGCAGCTGCATCCCGAAACGGATCCCAAACCGGAGACGGCTACCCAACAGCCAGTTGTGGACGACTCTGGGGTCGGTGATCCTGACGAGGAAACAGATACAGATTTTCTGGGATCCAGCACTGCAGACTGGTTGTCCAGCGGTAGCAGCACACCAATCGCCGCCTCCGAGACTGTGACCACACCCCAAACCGTCACGCACACTGGGGAACCGCCACCTGACCAGAGCTCCACCAGTCCGCCCGAAACCAGCACACCAAGCGCAGTGGACAAGGAGACCGAGATTCAGATGCTGCCCTGCAGCGAAGCCTACAACTCGAGCTTCTGCCTGAACGGCGGCCACTGCTTCCAGCATCCGATGGTCAACAATACAGTCTTCCACTCGTGCCTCTGTGTGAACGACTACGATGGTGAGAGGTGCGCCTACAAGAGCTGGAATGGTAAGTAGTCTCTACTTTCGCTTTATCAATAAAAACTATATACTATCGTTAACCATTTCGCAGGTGACTACGTCTACACGCCCACTCCAGTGCAGCGGAAGGTCCGGATGGCGCAGATCGTCTTCTCCTTCCCCGTTCTCATCATGCTGTCCTCGCTCTACGTGCTCTTCGCAGCCGTCTTCATGCTCCGCAATGTGCCGGACTATCGCCGGAAGCAGCAACAACTACACCTGCACAAGCAGCGCTTTTTTGTCAGATGCTGAGAGACACCGACCTCCGAAAATAGGAGAGGTGGTCCTCCTCTGGATTTTGATTTGGAAACAACTTTGGTTTCGCCTACATACGACTCTTTTCTTTTGTTGAATGGCAAATTCTTTTTGACCATATTTCTTTACGTTGCGCAGCGCAAAGTTAACGCTTTAATTTATTGAATACATTTAGTGTACTTAGTAGGATTTTCTATTTAGTTGCAAAAGACGCACAATTAGTATTTGCTTTTCTTTATCATTTCTTAGTTTCGTTTGTTTCGCTTTTGAAGCTTTCGTTGGAGCTTTTGTAGTTTGTTTGTAGTAACATTTTGTTACGTTAAATTAACCATTACGAAATATTAAGAATGTACTTAGAACATAATCTTAGCGCTTACTCCAGCTACCAGGACAAAGGATTATTTTTGTAACACTCGGTTACATCTTGTATATTGTATAGAAAAAACTATTTTTGTAGTGTATTAAAGAAGAGGATTGGGACTCGACTCAAAAACAGAACTAAAACATTCAAAACAGTGTTTCCTTTCTGCGCATCTTCTTCGTATCTCTCTTGTTCGTTTTTTTTCAGCCGGTGGATATGAGTGAAGCACGCTTTTGGGTTTTATATTTTATAATATATATTTTATCCAATATTTCGTCCAAAAATTCTTTACAAATTTCTTCGAACTTACAGTTAAATGTATAGTAGAAATTATTCAAAAAATTCTCCTCACTTTCATCTTTTCATCGTATATGATTTGTTGATTCTTTTTTTTCTATCAAGATCATCAGTATGAGAATGGTATGTATGCGCATGTGTGGTGGATGATGTGTGCTTGATGGGTGATGGATGTGTTTTGGGGGATTCCCCCGATCTGGAATTCAGAGGGGCACCAATACAAAACTATTGATGCCCACGCGTGGGTGTGTTTGTTTAGTGGGGTGTGGTGGTTGCAGTGGTGGCGTGGTGGATGGTGGTGTCGCGTGTAACTCTGACTTTTGCTTGCGTATATCTTGGATTAGGGATATGAAGTTCGTACAAAAATTATTTAAAATATGTAAATGTTTAAAAATGTATTTTTACTTGTTTTTTGTTTTGTTTTTTATCTCGTTTATCTTGTAATTGTTTGTTGTTGTTGTTTTACGTTGCGTTCTTTTGTTGTTGCTTGTATCGTTTGTTGTTTTGTTTTTAATAATATGTAATATTATATATAATAATTATGAGTAGGATTATTCGCATGTAACGGGCAGTTGTTCCTGTGTTGTAACGTCTGCCGCGGCATTCTTCTCCTTCAGATCCTTGGCGAGATCCACCTGTGAAAAATTATGGGAAAAAGTTAATAATCAATGGTTTAAAAAATCCTACTTTCTGTGTCGTATGCAAAAAAAAAGTTCGAAAACTGAAAGCACAACAACAACAATTAAGGGAAAAAAAGAAAGAACGCGACAATGACAAATTGCCAGCGCAAAAACAAAATAAAATGGTATACAAAATAATGTTTTCGATAATAAGCGATTTGTGTGTTGGTGTGTGTTTTCAACATTTAGGTACAGTTGTGTATTTATGGTCTTTGGTTTTAGTGAGAGCGCAAGAGTTACGACAGCCAAACAGATATTGGGTTAGGACAGAGCGGTAGATGGGAGGGTTCTGTTTTCTAAACTTGTATTTTTGTGTGCATGTGTGTGGATTAGGATGAATGCGGTTTAAGTTTTGTTTTATGGGCTTGGTTGGTTGTGGTTAATACACCAAAATGCAGTCGCTTATCCTCGGTTTAGTAGTACGTACTTCATTCGCTTTACATCACCAACTAATCATGCAATCCCCGAGCAAATCAATGAATTTCAAACACTAACGAACTACGTATTAACTACGGCAACAAGCGCGCTACCAGCAGCAGACTAACTGATGCCATTCGAGTGAGATCAACACACACAACAACATAGAGTTGGAGAAAGCAGGAGAAGCACGCCCAGGACAAAACTCCAGATGCAAGAATGGTAATATGGTGTGTGTTCAGGTCGATGTGTTTTGAAGAGTTGACTTTGCAGTTCGAGGACTCACTGCCAGTTGCTATTCACCTTGTTGCTGCTCTCGCCCTCCAGTTCCGTGGGTCTCACATCCAACTCAGCCAGGAGGAGATCGCCACCAGCTTTGGTGACCGGCTCATCCAGATCGCTAATGATTTTTCCAACCAGATCGTTTTCGTTGTCGTTGCCGTTTTCGTTCTCCTTATCGTTATCGCTATGCGCATCCTCATCCTCGGATATGACTTGTGGCTCGGTTGTTTCATTTTGGGGGATTTCCTCAACAGGTGCTGGCTGTTCTAGGATGGTTTCAACCGGATTTCCGTTTGCCGCCTCCTCTTCTTCAGTAGAGCTGATGCTAATGGTTTCTTTCTGTACTTCGGAATCTACCGATTCTGTGAGTGCAACATTTTCCTCATCTAAAACCACAGAAACTACGTCCGCAGGAACAATTGGAGCTGAAACGGGGACAGATTCTTCTTCGTCGGATGCGGCTTGGTCCTCAATAGTTTCCTGGACAACATCTGGTTTTGAAGAGGTTAGTTCGGCCGTAGGAGAGGGAGCTTCTTCGCTTTGAACTGGCGCGACTTCCTCAACTTCAACAGTGGGTGCCGTCTCCTCCTTAACTACTTCAGGAACAGACTCCTCCTCTTTGACTTCCTCCTCTACCTTTTCCTTTTCGGTGACAGGAACAGACTCCTCTACTTTTTCCTTTTCGGTGACAATTTCTGCCGCCTGTTCGGTGATCTCAGCGACAATGCTAATGGCCTGCTGTTCGATTTCATCGCGCTTAACTTCGTTAACTTCGGGGGTGTTGTTTGGGGTAACCTGCTCCTCGATAACTTCATCAGAGAGGACAAAAGCGGAGACACGAGATGGAGGCGGGGATTTGGGCAACGGGGGCGGCGGACTGCTGCTCCTTGTCTCCACAATAACAGATTCAGTTTCTACTTCAGGAATTTCCGAAACCTGTTCGGTTTCAACTTCGGGAACTTCAGTAACGGGCTTAGATTCAACTTCAGTGATTGATTCCTTTTCAATTTCGGGAACTTCAGCAACGGGGACTTCTATTTCGGTGGTGGACACCGGAGCTACAACCACGAATCCCTCGGCCTCCGTCTCAGTCTCCGTTTCGGCCTCAAGTTCGCTGCTAACCGCCTTGATGATCGCCGCCACAACTTCCTCCTCCGCTTGGCTGGTGGACACTGCTGCTTCTTCAATCACTTCGCTGCTGCTGGCCTGCGTGTGGGAGGTGGGAAGGATCGTGTTGGTTGTTTTGGTTAGGATTGTTTGGGTCTGAACTAACTCTGCGGCTGCTACAACGGTCTTGGTCACAGTGCTTGTTTCTGTTTCTGTACTTTTAGTATTTTCTAGTGCAGTGTTCTCTGTGATTTCGGTTGTGGTTTTTGTTGTTGTTGTTGTTGTACTTGTATTTACAGTGAAGTTTTTACTGTTGTGTTCTTGTGTGTTGGTGCTGTCTGTTCTTGTGTGCTTGTTTACCTCAATTTGCTGTCCCTTCTCGGTTTCGACGGCCACTGGAGTGGGCGGGGGCGTGGTGGTGCCATTGGTGCCATTCTGGTGCGGCTGCTCGTCATCAACGTTGCTTGGAATGTTGTCAGCGACTGGTGCTGCTGTCTCGGCCACTGGGGACTCGGCCAGTCCATTGCTTGATCCATTGGTCAGCGCCTCTCCGGCTCCATGTCCATTGGTGACCACTTCGGGCTCTGGCTGGCTCTCTTTCACGACGGGAACTTCTTCGGTGGCAGTGACAGTGGCAGTGGTGTTCGACTCGGTGGCAGTAACTGTGGCTGGTTCCTCGGCGGCCTTGGGCTGTGCCGCTTCCTCAACTGTGGCTGGTGCTGCTGCTGGCGCCGCCTTCTCGGCTTCTCCGTTGGCCTGTTTCTCCTGTTCGGTCGCCGATCCGTTCTCGGCGGGCTTTGCCTCCTCCTTGGACGCCGACTCGCTGGTGGTCTCGACAGTGGCATTCTAATAAAAATAAATACATTATATTATTTATAATTTTTGGGATATATTCATAGAACTTACATCAGCTGACTTTTCGGCCTCGCCATTTGTGGTGGCCGCTGGCTCCGCTGGAGCAGCATCCGCAGCAGGAGCAGCTTCGGCCTCGGCCGTCGTGGGCGACGTTGTGCCAGAGGTGGGCGAGACTGCCTCCTCCGACTTGGCCGGCTTCTGTTTGTCCTTCTTGCCAAAGGAGATGCTGCGGAAGGACCACTTCTTCTTGACCTTGTCCTTCTTGGACTTGGACTTGATGCTTTCGTCGGCCAGCGGGGTGATATCCTCGCCAGCGGCGCCCTCCTTGGGGGAGCCCTCCTCGCCCTTTGGCGATTCAACGGCCGCATCGCCACCCTCAGCGGCTGCGGCACTCTTTTCGGTGGTCAGATCCTTGTCGTTTTCAGACTGCTCCTCAGTTTCCTTTTTCTGTGTGGGGAAATAGGAAGTGATTAGATTTCTTTTATATTTCTAAAATGACTTTGCTTACCTCAGCCGTCGCCGCTTCATCGCCTCCCTCTTTGGGCGTGGCTGCATCCCCGTTCACCGCCGGTGCGTCCGTCTTCTGGTCCACATCGATTTTCTCCACCTTGCCGGCCACCTCATCGCCCTCGCCGACCTTCTTGGGATCGGTGGTGATGTCGATTGAACGCTTGCTCTGAGCTTTACCCATTTTTTTTTTGTATGCTGATCCTCCTTTATTCGCTAGTGTAAACTGAAAGAAAACGAGGTGAGCAATTAGTTTAAATGTGAAGCGGTGTAGAGTCGGAAATGGCACAAGTACGGCGGCGCTTTTTATTTTTAGCTAGTGTTTTTCCTATTTTTGCAATTGACATTTTGAATGAGTCGCACTCTAGATCTTTCAATGCAATTCGATGACCTCATTAAGGATTGTCGGTTGCATTAACCATAGAGAGCTTATCACATTGGCAAGCGCCCATGAGGAAAGGAATTACGATAAAGTAGAGTCTACTTATAAGACCGACTAAAGTAATGATTAAGCTATATACTTTTAACAGTAAACTTTTATAGGTTTCTTTAACAAATGTATTACCAAATTTGTTAGGATGATTTTTTATTAGAAATACAGGAGTTTAAAGTAAATTATGGGATGATTATGAAATAATTATACATTAGAATCTATATTTTCTACTTTTTTATCGGCTAGCGTCTCCAATCACCGAGAAAGTACTGTAACGGCCAAACCAGACGGCAGTAATCGTAAACAATTCGAGCGCCTCCCATGATTCATCGACACTTGAATGTTTTTCTTTTTACTGGGAAGTTTATATGAAACAACGAAACAGACACCACAGCAAAGAAAACAGAAATGGGGAGGTGGGAGGTAAGAGAAGGTAGGGTGTGGGCTGGTTTTAAGCATGCAATGCGTCATTTTCAAGCAAAATCGAATTACACACAAATTTTTGCCAGAGTGAATGAAACAGAAACCGTAGCAAAGAACGAAATTTTGGGCGGTGAGAGGTGGCTCGGCTCAACAAAAAGTTTGCATTTTTTAGGGGTTGTAAGTGCAAGCGAAACGGGGAAGGTGTATGTTCGTATGTGTGCAGCTAAAAAATGGCGGCAACACACACTGGCACACAGACGACAAAGGGCTAAAAGAGCAGCTGTTTCGACCGCTTTATCTAGACCCGGTGAATCAACAGCCTCCCACATCCGACCCATCTGCATACCCCTCATACTACATTCCCATCCACTTCCACTTTTAACCCAAACACACGCACCACCGGCACGTGAAGCGGCATATGCAAATTGAGAATTCTCCGGGAATCCATCAGTGACTCATTACCCTCAACTTATTATTGCCTAGTTAGTGGACATGAGTCAAAGCTGGGATAGGAAGCGAAACATTAAGGCAATGAATGCTTCCCTCTCGACTGATAGGCGTAAATTAAAACGTCTTGATATTGACATTTCTCCGAAGAGGTCTGAATCAGAGTGAATGTTGTCAGATAATCAAGGGAGTGACAAATTTTCTTCCACTTACGATAATAAACTATTTTAAGATTTTATAAAAACCAAACTAATTCCAATTTCGGGGAAAGTACTAAGTTTTACCCGTGAATCAGTACTAAAAATATAATCTTTATCGGATCAGAAACGCTCCCTTTTCAATAAACCTCTTTAAACTCTTTAAAGATAAGATTTTCAATTAGAAATAACACCGAACGCTTTAAATTTGCACTGAAAGCGTACATTCGTGCACTCGGCACAAATACATCATATCAATTTAAATACGTAACAAGACAAGAGACCTCAAGTTTCAAGACTCTGGGGGTTCAACGAACCCGACAGCAATTAATACGAGACAACACAATACCATACATATACTATACCGTACAATACCGGGCCAACTGAAGCTCCTCGGTTATGTATTTCGATCGGAGTGATAACGGAACGAGAAGCGGAGAGACATATTCGATGTGGAAAGAAAGAGGCTATTAATTCCTGGCCTATGTCTATCTAAACTGGATGAGTAATGGCCGAAATACGCCGAAACATAGCCCCCCTACCCCCTAAATTTAGTTCACAAAGGTAATAACATAAAAGCGCAAGTAAACTGGCGCGCATGACGCATCAAGGAAAAGGACATCGAGAGCGAGAGAGGGAGAGAGAGAGAGAGCGGAAGGTTTTGAGAGAGCGAGGGTTGCCGGCATTTGGCGAGGAACTACAACAATAATAACATTAACGGGTCTGGTCATTGCACGTTGCCATGCCAACCTAGCAACAACTGTTGTTCCTCCTGCTCTCTCCTTCACTTCCTTGTCCTCCCCCTCCTCTTCCACCCCCTTTGCCCACAACCCTCTGCTGTAGGGCGTGTGAAAATAATTGAGTGCGGTCCGAAAATAATTCAATGCATTAGGACACGCGGTGTTGCCAGATCAGTGTAAAAACAATTCCTTTTCATTGAGGTTCCTAACTCAAAATATCCTAACATCTATTTTATAAATCTTTTAATAAAATTCCTCATTTTTTTACTTTTCAAATAAGTAAATATATTTCTTTTCTAGCTCGAAATCTAAAAGTGCCACTGCAGTTTTTTAAATTGATTCAAGAGGCGGGGAGATTGAAAATTGGGGAGGGGGAGGGACTCATTTCAGGGTGGATGGCTAAATTTGTAATCTATGAAAATGACTTAATGGGCGACAACAACGACAGTTTTCGGGGCCTTTGTGTCTTGGTTTTTTATTACTTTAATTCAATTAGACATGGCATTTGACATGTGCGCCCACTTTCACACGCCCTCCCCTCACTTAGCCCCCTCCCTCCCTCTTCTCTTCAACTGTCGAGCCGATGGACGACAAAGGAAAACGCAGAGCAGAGTAGAGCTCACAGCTCACAAAACAGCGGCCGCAGTCTATAAATAAAAGCGCATTTATCAACAATGGAGTGTGTTCGAAAAAAGAAGCAACATCACAAAGAGGCGTCGTGAGTGTGAGCTTCAATTCATTCCATTCCCATATTCCCATCCCGATTCCCTCCCTTTCGGACGCAGCCGCCTATCAATTTTGACACTTCAAGCTGTTGTGTATCACATTTGGTGCTCCTGCATACTTCTGTTTATAGTGCTGACGAAAGAAAAGCCGCTAGATCACTAACGGATAAATAAATGCATAAAAATCTAGATCAATTGGATACTAAGACCTATAGTACACCGGTTTCTAACAGATGACATGGATGTTTAATCAAATTTTTAAGTTAATTCAATAAATTAAGTCTCAGTGAAAGTTTTCTTGTAAGAGGTCCTAACGTACTATAAACAATTTCCATCAATTGATTGCAATTACCATTAAAATAAAATAAAAATTCTATAAATCAATATGATAGAAAGGGGATATTTCTGTAAAAGTCAGCGAATTATAAACAATTACCATCATTGGATTGCAATTACAATTAAAATAAAATAAAAATTCTATAAATCAATGATAGAAAGGGGATATTTCTGTTAAACTCAGCGGATAAATAGCTGAAAATAGCCAAGCCCACAGCTCGTATTTCCAACTCCATGCATTCAACTGGCCTTCTCTTTCCCGCTTGCCTGCGACGAAGAGATGAGACGTTTTGATACGTAAATTAAATTGATTGTGCTGGAATGTGCCGGCTGGATGACCGTCTGAATGTCTAGCCGGCCGGCCGGTCAAACATTAATTTGTGTGTGCCAGAAGAGATGCTTGTTAAATGTTAAAGCGCAGGCGCAGAGCCACCATTCCCGTTCCAACGCTCCCATTTGCACTCCCTCCAAGATCAGTGGCAGTGTGTGGCATCATGGAATGGACATTGTTGTGCAATTAAAATTGAAAAGTTTCACCATTTGTGGTAGGGACACAATGGCTGAGAGGAGAGTGCATGCGCACTGGCGCAATTGAACTTTTATAAACTAATCAAGAGAGATCGTTAATGGCATCGCTCACACACATCAAACATCCATCCATCCATCTATCCGTCCTCCCCTCAATTGAGTGGAAAGTTTCCCTCAATCAGGCTCAAGTAGACCCAAGTTTCGAGTGGGAGAACAATAAGAAGGCAAAGAAGGAGCAGCAGAAGAAAGCAGAGTGCACTTTCATTGCATTGTTGCCTTCGCTGCCTTCGCTGATAAGCCACGCCTAAGCCGCAATCAGACGATGCATTTGGCTTTATTGAGCGTATATACTGCACACTGTGTCGTCGCAGTCCACTTTAATTGTCATCAAGAAGTATTCTTCTTGTGGACCCCCACGCAAAAATAAGCACACACACACACTCGCGTCCACACAATGCGGATGCAATCTTATTGGCAGTCTAAAAAAAGATAAAGAAGATGATTCCCAAAAAGCGTGCGAAATAAAAGACAACTACTTGAAAGATGGGATAGCTTAAGAAGACCGAATACTGAAATACACTTACTTTAAGGAAATAATAGATTATCTTATTTAATTTAAAACTCAAATAATATTATTCCTCACTATCTTAAGCTTAGTATATTAATTGCTTTTCGTCTAGACAAATTTGAATTGCAAAAATAACGTTCCCATTTTAAAATGCGTTTTACTTTCATTATCAATCGATTGACTTTGAACGTATTTCTAAATCAAAACGCTATTTCTGCTTATCACATTTTATAAATAGTCTCCTGCTCCCAAGTTAAAATAATCTGTACTTTCACAATTGCATGTCAATCGTTTTTAACAATCTGATGAAAAACTAGCTGTCTGTCTGGAAAATGATTTTGCATGCAAAAATCTCATGTTAAGTTTTTTTTCAGATTAAGAGTGTTTTTTTTTGCCCAAATTGAGGCAAAGGCAAAATTTGCAAGAAAAAGGAGTAAATAACGAAACCGAGAAGAGCCCTTTGGCCACTATATCAAAACATTGACAACAAGCAAGCCGAGTGTCTCAAGTAACCACCGGATATAATTGTTGTTGCTGTGCGAGTGCTGTACTGAAGTTGTGTGGCATAATGAAAATGATACGATACGTAAAATGAATGCATTCCATAATTAGTAGCAAGTACCCACACTCCCTTGCACACATATCACACGCACAAGTTGACAAGACCCGAAGAAAAGAGAAAATATTTTTTTCAATTATCATTTCCGGTCAATTCGGAATGTTCTGACTGGACAGCGCACAGAGAACCTCCCTGCTTTTCCCTTTGATTTCGTGTGTCTTTACAATCACTTTTGATATGGATACATTCACATGGCCAAAAATAAAAAAG